TCCACCAGCCGCCACTGGTCGTAACATTAACGCTCATAATGTTATCTACTTCAAAAATGTAAAATTTGTTGAATACATTGCAATCTGGATGTATTTAGGTTGGAGGTAAACCCAATAGTTGAATCCCTAATGAATCACTGATGGTTTTATCAGTTGTTATGAATTCATTTAATTGTTCTTTAATTTTTTTTTTTACAAAGGATTCTTTCTGAAAATGTGTGGATTTGAAACGCCAACATGTCGTTTGGAGTAGATGAAATTCTATTTTACCCATTAGATTAGTTAAAATTATAGAACCCAACGTCAATTAAATCTGGTGAAAAGCTATTGTTGTGCCATTTACTATTGTTTTGTTAAAGCAATTCTCCTCTCAGTATCTCTCCCAGACCTGTGTCCTTTAATGTGTTTGAAAAAGATGCAATGACGTGGTAAAATATATCCTGTGTACTACATCCTTTTCCAATCGATACATTTCCAGGGGAGGCCACCGGGATATGAGGGATATTTAGGCCTCACAAATTCCAAGTTAATAATGGATTATCATTAAGGATTAATGATCCCTAAGGGATAACTAAATGTATGGCATATTAAAGCCTCATTCATTAACAATATTTAAAACTATTTATTTACTGCATTTAATGCATTGACCTAATGTATTAAATAACTATGAAATGTACCATGGAGCCCACACTGTCACTAACTGCCCTCCCTGAATAAATATGATCTAATCTACTTAAAAACAAAGAAAGAGAGAAGCAGATAGAAGGGTCTACAACAGGGGTCGCCAATTGGCGGACCGCGGTCCGGATCCGGACCCAGACGCCGTTGTATCCGGACCCAGGACCTAAAATCGATTTTATTTTGACAGGGCGCTTCTATTTTAACCGGCGCAGCTTTTTCAGCCTTTACGGCACTTGTTGAGCGGTGCAGGAAACGCACTGACCAATGCGTTGTAAATCACATCACGTAATGCGGCTCAGCCAATCAAATATGGGTATTCTGACAAGTTTCCTGACTGGAGTGATATGTACACACACCAGGGGAGAGACGAGGAAAGAGAAGGAAGAGCAGGAGAATAATATGTGAGTCAGAGAAGTTCACATGACGTTCTCCAAAAAGAAAAAAGAGACCAGAGTCTTTAACCAAGAATGGACAGACTCTTATAGGTTCATTCTTCACACGGACAGTTTAAAACCAGTGTGTCTCACATGTTCAGGGTCCGTGACGATTATTAAAAGCGGTAAATGAAGCAACACTACCAGACAAAGCACAACTCTTTTGAGCAAACGTACCCATTCATATCTGAATGAAGTCACAGAAAATAAACCTAAGAGTCCAAAATGATCAGAATCCTAACACATGAATTCACTGACCAACAATGATGTTGACAGAGAGAATAGAGCTGAAACAAGTGGTTTATTAACCACAGATAAAGTCCATGCACAAACATTTCTCTTGTTAGAAGATGAGAAAAATATAATATTGTGGCTTTTTTGATTGACATCACTTCACGCCTGAATGAACTGAATTTAAAGCTGCAGGACAATTCAGTGAAATTAATTTTTCTAAAATGAATTACTTTATTTTAAGATGCACATTTTTATTTTTGAAAAGCTTTCTGTTATGTCAGTTATGCTTTAATCCAGCTGTTATTTTACTTAAAAGTAGAGAACATGTATTTATGTATTTCTATGTATTATATATAATCCATCCAGTTAAATTTGAAAACAGAATAATATTTGTTAAAATATAATTGATGTGCACGTTCTTTATTTGATTTGACAGTTGTTGACTACACAGAGACGTAACTACTACTAGACTTCTTGAATACATATATATATATATATATATATATATATATATATATGGCACTAAATAGCGCAAGTTAGATATTATTGTAATGTTCCGGACCTTTGCCCGAGGAGAGTTTCTCAATCTGGACCTTTTGGAATTTTAATTGAATACCCCTGCTCTACAATATGTGTTTGAAGGATCTATCCAGGATGAAAACAGGTTAAAAAGATTAACTAGCACGCTAAAGCGTAAAAAGTGAACGACCACATCACCTGGCCATTGAGACAGAAGACAATGAAATCAATGGAACATCAGTGTTCCTGTAGAGCCGGGTAGGTCGTTATTCACTGTTACAATCATTAGAAGAACTAAAGCAGCATGTGTATGAATTCCCTGATGATGAAAAACATCAGAGTAATGTGTTGAGGCATTGCTGGATTACCAAACATATTGGAGCAGTAGACTGCACCCATGTGTGCATCAAAGTTCCATCTACAAATTCCATCAAATTTATGAACCGAAATAATTACCAATCCATCAACGTGCAGGTAATCTGTGATGCTGACTGCCACATACTCAACGGTGTGGCCCACTGGCCAGGAGGTAGCCACAACTTCTTCATTTTACACAACGGCACAGTGGAGTTTGGAGGCAGGAGCTGTGAGAAGTGGATGTCTTCCGTTTATGCTAAAGTATTTTATATGGCCTAAAACATGGCTGATGACGATTTGGCAATTGTAACTCCTAACACAATTTGGGTTGAACAGTCTGGCATGCTGTGTCCATTGCAGTGGCTCATGGCATTTCTTTACCACCTGGAACAGAGCAGCAACTACACTACAGGTCACATGATGTACGAGGGTTCTGTAATTTATTTGTGAACCATATTTAAAAGTTTTCTGAATCTGCTCTTTTGATTTACAGAATATGATTTTACAAGGCAAACATTACCTGAAGAATACATTTTTTTCCACTTCAAGCATGCATAGAAAGACTGTCCAGCCTGTCGCAGTGGTCAAGCAATACACACAATCACACAAGGCCCGTCAGCAGGCCAGGAATTTCACCCATCACTCAAACTGCTGTAACACTAAATGTCATCATTCACCCATTCACACCCATTCATACATGCAAAACCACCTGCCCATCAGGACTCTAACGAGCATTCATACAACATTCACACACCGTAAGCACAGCTACGGGAGCAATTAAGTGTCTTGTTCAAGGACACATGGACATGGACTCGTGGAGCTGGGGATCAAACCGCCGACCTTCTGATCCTCCGATCCACATTTCACCAGCATTTTTTGCTGAGATTCTGAATTCTTATTGGGCAAAATGAAGTGAAACTGATGTACTGTATGTAAAATATACATATGAAACTCTGGGACCAGATGTTGCACCCTACTGGCAGGTAGGTAGAATGGAGCTGTATCTTGCTGGAGACCTTCTCATGAAAAGGAAGAGAATCGTATCTCAGGTACTCGGTTGGGAGATAATGTATAAACTCCATGAAGGTCATCAAGGGATCTCCAAATGCCGTGTCAGAGCCAACGAATCACTATGGTGTCCAGGTATACCTGCCCAGATTCCAGACACAGTAGAAGAATGTGAAATATGCCAGAAACACAACACAGAGCCACTGATCCAGACCACAGTCCCAAATTGGCCCAAGCAAAAGGTGAGGATTTGTTTGGTCAAAAAAGACACCAGTTTATTGTGGACTATATTCCGAGGTACATCAAGCAGAGGTCAGGGTCACATCAGCTGAGGGTATAATTCCAGAAGTGAAAGAATAGTTTTATCAGAGACATTCAAAGTATTGGCAAACAAGAGCAGCACCACACACACACACACACCTCTTTCATCACCATCACTGAGGTGGGCTTAAGTAAGACTCCAGTAGAGTTGCTCAGTGGGCAGCAGGTCACACTGTTGTATGGTGCGAATGTGAATATGTGTGAATGTGTGCAACTATGATCAGGATGTTCCTGAAAAGAGAAGCTTCCTCTCACTGGAACTTCACTGAATAAAAGAAAAGTTTATAATGCTGCACACTACAACTCCCCCCACTGTTCCAGGAACACTACCAGAGCTCACCTTAGGACTGGACCTGCTATAGATGACCTGTATTAGGACTAGGACACAGGGAATCATCATGAGCAGCCACCAGTCACTAGATCAGGCAGAGTTTCAAGGGCTCCTGAGAGACTCGATCTATCTCAGTAAAAAGTGATTGTCAGCTATAAGCATAACAACTTGTCAAAGAGATATACAATGTGTGTGTTGAAAGAGTACCTATGCAATGTAGGGGACTTCCAGATATGGCATTAAATGGTTGTCGCTCACCTAAATCCATGGTGTCCCGCCTCCTTCATTATACACGAGCCAAGAGTGGTTCAAAGCAAATGCAGGCATTACACCTCATCACAGCTTGTCGATGCATAGCTTGTTACACCCCATGTCTGCTATTTTGTCCTTTTTATTCATAAACATTGAGGTCATTGTTCAAATTTAGAAAGTGAAAATGTAATGATGTCAAAATCATCAACTCCTCGATGGATTGATCTGGGGTTTGTGTGTGAGAACCCTCTGGCACAGTGAGGTTGTTGCTGAGCCAAAACTGTGCTGTAAACCCCACAACGCAAAAACATTATTAGTCAATATTATTAACAGCCTTTGCTTAACACTTGCTTTTAAATCAATTTGAATGAATTAATCTATGAATGTGATCTATGAATGTGAGAAAATGTTAACGTGTAAGGAACAGTTGAGAGCTGATGTTCAGAATTCAGTTCTACTAATTCCTCTTTAAAAACTGCTCAGTGCCTCAACAAAAGCAGATTGTGAAGAACAGAGACAGGTTGCTGTTTATTTTGGTCCTGTTGTCTCCCAAAGCTGTCAGTGGAAGAAGAGGGCATTCAGGGTCTGACATCTGGGAATGATTTGCCATTTGTTTGGATGTGGACATTTATGATAGTGAAAGTGGAATGTGTTTTCTTTGTGTGTGTGTGCGTGTGTGTGTGTGTGTGTGTGTGTGTGTGTGTGTGTGTGTGTGTGTGTGTGTCGGCCAGCTGTATGTCAGAGCACAATAACCTGATGCCAGCCTGGATCTTGTTTGATTAGATATATTTAACGTAATCACACTACAAACCACTAGTGTTTCAATTTAATAGAAAGTTATTTGCAAAGTAGAGGAATCTTACTTTTGTTGTTATAGTCTCCAGTAGTTCTCCTCTGAAAAGTGTCTGTCTTCCCCCTTAGTTTGTGTCTTTGTTAGGTTGTTGTCCCGTCTGTCCCGTCCTCAGGTCATTCTTTATCTCCTCCCACACAGAACAATGTCAGCCATAAAGTCTTGCTCCTCCAAACAAGTGGAGGAGTATAATAGAGGGAGAGGAAAAAGGGAGAAAAAGTGGCAAAATGAGGGAGAGAAAGAGATTTAAGCAAAGCGTAATGCTGAGGAGGAGGAGCTCTAAGCACAACTCTAACCCAAAGGGGAAAAAATAAAAACACAGAAGAGAAGAAACATGAGTCCTGTGTGTGGGAAAACTGAATAGAACCAAAAGAAAGAAGCATAGCGTGACACATCCTGTGTCCCTTTCTCTATTAACAGTAAGCAGCTGCTTTGAAACTAATAACAACGGTTGTCCTCAATTTTTCTGGTCAACAAGTTAAAATGTCTCTCCCACCGATGCCCTTGGCTTGCCAAAGCATTTCACAGAGTACCTATAATGGGGCCTCTTTTTTAGAGCAGAGTGACATTTTAATGTTCAGGTGTGGATATGAGCCAATGACTCAGGATACTGACAAAACTAAATCTGCCAATCCATTGACCATAGCATGTCAATGTTGCATGTTGCCACAGCACAGGGAGTACTGGCTAAATGTTTTGTTGTTTTGGCTGCACCCGGCTCCACTTGTCCCCCACAGTCAGATATATACTGACGACAGATGATTTGAGAGAGCACAAAACAAATGAGCGCGCTACTAAGTCTGCAAGTGAGCCGCACACAGGCAAGCGTTTGTAAGAATAGAATTAGATCGAGCATTTGAACATTTTGGACAAGAGGAAATTACCCTTGGCTAAGCCCCACCCCCTGCTGCTACTCACAATATGTGTTTGAAGGATCTATTCAGGATGAAAACAGGTTAAAAAGATAAAGATAGAAGATAAAGTGTAAAAGTGAACCACCACATCACCTGGAGATGGAGACAGAAGAACTGTTGTATTTTAACCATATCAATCAGGTCCCTCCTCACATGTTCACTTGGTTCAGTCACTTACTACTCCACACCACTTCATCTTTAACATCACTCTGAGAGTGTGTGAACCGTAAAAGGTCAAATTAATATTGCATCAGTATGATAAATAAATATTGCATCAGTATGATGCAATATTTATTGAGCCCTATTTAGTTATATTGCATATAATATTTTTCTATACATCTCTTGCTATGGCAGCACTGTTTCCCTGATTCTTTTTTATGTGAAGATACTGGACATATTGCCCCAAAACATGTTTTTTTTTGATTTGTCGTATACATGTCGTCCTGATGCAAATTAAAAAAATGCACATGTACTGTTTTTGTTTTCTTTGTCATGTTTTACTTCTGTGGGGAATGGGCTACAACTTCATTTAGTTGTGCAAACCTGTGTTGCATAATACCAAAAAAATCCTTTGATTATATCCTAAACCTATACATACCAGTGGATTTTGTTATTGTTGCCAAAATCTTATTGGACAATGTTTCACTCATACACATCTATATTTATATATTGCGTAAATATTGTAAATTAATAGCGATTTAGTATATTAGATTTGTAGGTAAGCTTAGTCCTAAGCATCCCCAAGAACTGAAGAGTAGTATCTTATTTGAATACATTCTGTATACTGTATGTTCATACATTTACTACCATATTCACTACGATGTCATGAGTTATCTGTAGTTCTCGGTGATACTGAGGCCATGTCCACACTACTACATTTCCATTTGAAAACAAATATCTTTTGCTACGTTTATACTGAGCGTCCACACTACGCCGGAGTTTTCGAGCAGTGTATCTTGAAAAGCTCTTCAGCCGATTTCCAACAGGACCATCACTAATTCACTGCACTATTTCCAAACATCCACTAGATGTCACCCTTACTTTGAACTCAAACAGCTAAAGACATCATTGAGGTGTAATGTTTTTCTGGTCCTCATCAGAATCAGAATCATAAATATAGCATCAGCTATTTCTCATCAGTGGATATTAGTTTTAGATTTTAAATTCTTGAATGATAAGCTTCAGCTGTTAAATCTTTTCCTGTTGTCTTCATCTATAATTCAGTGTGGCTTTGTAGCACAAAGGCCTGTGTAAAAACGGACTAATCCTAATTCTTCGTATTCTCCATCTTCTGTACAAAAGTTTGGCGTGCTTTTCCTCACACAGCGTTGCAAACACCTGCACAAAAAATACATCAAAACGTGTGGCCTGATCAGAATCAAAATTTCTCCAATCACTTGAATGGGGTTTCGACGTGAAGAGAGCTAAAAAAAACACTTACCTTTGGGCCCATATTGACTAGCCATACTTTAATATAGAAAAATGATTTTAATTAAGTTAAGTTTAAAACGTAGACAAAAAGCTGGACTTTGTCAAATGGGCATTTTGATAGCTAAAAAACATTTTCATGAAGTCACTGATTAAGTTTCAGGAAAATTTTGGGTCTGTTTCAGATTTTATAATGGGTGTGTATTGCATGGAATGTTCAGCGTTAGAGTGATGACATCACGGTCTGAGTGGAGCAGAGCATGAAAAGTATTCTGTGATTTTTCCAAACAAATTGCTCCGAGTCCCACAATTTTTACTCTTTATACACCATTTGTGGTCAAAAAGATTGGAAATGTTGTCCTCCTTTTTGCTCTGCAGTTCACATTTTTAACACCACAAACACAAAAACCACATCAGCGCGTCGGCAGAGGCTTATCTCTCTCATGGTGCCCATGTGTTGTTGATTGGACTCATGGTTTTGGTATAGGGGGCAGAGGTTAGTAGTTTTTGTTGAAAATCCCTGTATACTCTGACCCCTCTTAATTAGCCTCTAACACATAGGTGCTCCAATCACGGTGGCAACAAGTGACACACGCACCCAAGCACACAGGTGTTTGACACACGTGCACGCGCGACTTGGCGGTATTCAATCAAGTCATTCACATTATGATTCTGTCTCCTTTCCCTCTCTCACCCACCCAGTCCCACCCAATTTCAAAATAAAAGCCCCACAGAGTGAATTCTAACTGGAATGCTTTTGATGAAGCCTGTCATTTAATAACCTATGTGTATGTGTGTCAAACATTATGATTCTGTCTCCTTTCCCCCTCTCATCCACCCAGTCCCACCCTTTCAAAAATAAAAGCTCCATGGAGTAACTGTATCTTAACATGAAGCTCAGAATGAGGTTCAAGTTAAGAAATGTTTAGTTCAAGTCTTTCCATCACAAATACAGAAATGTATTTTCCAAAGGTATATATCTCAAATACAGATGTATATTTTATTTCAAAAGCTATGTCATTTGCCCCAATCACCGTGGTAAACAGTGACACACACGCATGCGTTTTCAACTATGTGTTTCTATGAAGCAATAGCTGCTCTCAAGTTCAAGGCTGTCCATCAGAAATTCAAGATTCAATCCAAGAGTATGAATCTAAAATGCAGAAATAAGAGAAGCGATATCTCAATTGAACTTCAATGATACTACTTGAGGTTCAAATACAGAAATGATGGGAGCGTTAGCTCCTTCTCTTTGCATTGCCAACACCTGCAAAAAATATATCAAAAGGTGCGGCTTGATCGGGAATGGTGTGCTTTCAATTTTTTGGAGAGATTTGCCCAGCCGTTTTGCCAAAAATCGCGAACAACTGAGCATAATTTTTCCATTCACTTGAATGGGGTTTTGGTATCAAGAGAGCAAAAAAGCCCACTTAACTTTGGGCCCATATTGACTAGCCAAACATTAATGTAGAAAAATGATTTGAAGTTTAAAACGTAGACAAAATGCTGCACTTTATCGAGCCAAATGGGCATTTTGATAGCTGGCACAGTTTTCATGAAGTCACAGATTAAATTTCAGAAAGATTTTGGGTCCGTTTCAGATTTTATAATGGGTGTGTATTGCACGGAATGTTCAGCGCTAGAGTGAGGACATAACTGTCAGTGGAGCAGAGCATGAAAAGTATTCTGTGATTTTTCGAGTCCCACAATTTTTACTCTTTATACACCATTTTTGGCCAAAATTATTTTGTGCTGGTCGCAAGCAGATGTCTATGGAATCCAACGGACTTACACATTTGGCTCAAAGAGACGCAGAGTGACATGAACTCCAACCAACTGCTCTATCAGACTCCATGTTAAATCTGACCACTAATTTCTCGAAGAAAGCAGAGGGTACCATTTCAGTTTTGCATTTTATTAGTTGCTTTGTTACTTACCATACTCACCATGCATTCCAGAGGCTAAAGAAGGAGGCACCCAAAGATTCCATGTATGGGGGGTAGTAGAGTATGTTTGTAGGTTAGTTATTATCTGTTTTACATTGTTGAGAGTGTATAGCAAATTGTAAACTATATAAAATTGTTGGCTACTACCACTGTCTGAGTAGTTCGCTCCTCCCCTACACACATACACCCCCCATACACATACATGTACATACACATATATATATAAATCCTCACACCACGTTTGTTCACTTGACTTTAGGTATTAGACATATAATTGTATGATAGTGTTTGTTGGCTTTTGATATTATTTGATTTGATCATTTATTATTTGGATTTAATAAACTCTGTTATATTTTAAAGAGCAGTCTTCTGTGATTACTTGTGCATATGTGTGTGATAACAGCTGGATGTTGTGGCCTGTGCTCGAATTCAACCTTCACTGTTCACTCTGAGTGTAGAACAGTACTTTGACTGTGGACATTCTGAGTGAACACTCATTTTGAGACTCAATTTATAGTTTGGTTATCGGTCCCTGTTAGCAGGGTGGTGCCCCGTTATTATTAGTAATTGCTAATGAACCTATTGATGTTAATAACTCCAATGATGTTGATAGTTTAGTTTCATGTTTTCAATTTCAATTTGCTGATAACCAAACCCGCTCCTTTTCATTCCCAACAATATCATGTTAAACAATCTAAGTGAATCTTCTAAGGATATATTACTCAAATGATATAATAAAGTATAATAAAGTATATCCAAATACCAGAGTGGTTTCAGGAAAGGGAGACGTACATTAGATCCAGCTTTAAATTTAGAATATGAAATTAGGAAAGCACAGATAAACAAGGAAAGTGTTGTGGCTGTCTTCTTTGACATAGAGAAAGCATATGATATGATGTAGAGAGGTT